TTTTACTCCATTTGGATGGGGGAAGAACTCAGACAGGGTGCTATTGTGCAGGACACTGCCGTTCATGCCATCGTGGATTTGCCTCACCATGGCGGTGAATTTTGGTGGGCAGCCAAAAAAGGCTGATGGTCCGCCAAAGGGCTTCCCTGATAACCGAGTCGAAGGCCTTGGTTAGGTCGTTAAAGGCCGTGTGCAGGTCACAACGCAGTTCTTTGCACTTTTCGTGTATCTGGCGGGCAGCAAAGATTGTCAGTGGTGCCACGTGATGGTCTAATGCCACATTGAGATTCTGGGAGGAAATTTTCCGCCTCGGGAAAAAGTCTGTTTAGGAGGACTCGGGTGATAATCTTGTCAGCTACGGACAGCGGTGAGTTCCCACGGTAGTTGCCACAGTCTGACCGGTCTCCCTTGTTCTTCTAAATTTTAAAGGTCGAGGCATCTTTAAGATCATAGGGGATTTCTTCCTCCCATATATTCTCCAAAAAAGAGTGTAGACGGCTGGTAAGCAGAAGGATCTGAGGCTTTCTTATTCATCTGTTTGATGGCAGTAGCTACATCATCCAGGGATGGAGAATAGCTGAGGTGGTTCAGCTCTGGATGCTGAATGACTTGCTGGGTAGTCAGGACATCCAAATCTGCATTTTGGTTGAGCAGAGAAAGGTAGTGCTTTTTCCAGCGCTGAAGGATGCTTTCTTAGTCTTTAATTAGGGAGTTACCGTCGGATGAGCGGAGGGGGGCTGTGCCATGAGTGATTGGCCCATAAAATTTTTTAATGGAACTGAAAAATTCGCACATTTTGTGATGACCTGCAAGTTTTAGCATTTCACATAATTTATTTTTCAACCGGTCGTTCTTTAGACTGCGAAGTTCGCTCTGGGCCGCAGCTTTCTTCTTGCGGAAGGTATCCGCTTTAGTCTGAGACTGATGGTTCTTTTGCCAGTCAGTTAAGGCAGTACATTTGTCATCGACGAGTACATTGCTTTCCGGGGCATTTTCATCAAACCAGTCCTGGTGTATTCTTTCGATCTGGCCGTGGGGGGTCTCTGCAGGTTTTTGTCATGACATTGTCGAGAATAACCCATTCGGGCACTGGGATTTGGGTTGTTTGTTTTTGGATTGTTTATCAGTCCATGTTCGAACTGCTCTCTGAAAGCATGTGCTCCCGCTGGATCATCCACACGCTGTTAAAACTCTTCTGGAGGCTTGTTGCCTTCGCCGTTTTGGGGTAACGTGAAGTGTCGCAGTTGTCTGAGCCATGCATAGCTTGGGTGATGAGGACAGGTCTGCAATCTCTATCTCTGATAATTATGTAGTCAGAGATGCCATGTTTGGATCGTGGGTGTTGCCACTAACCCTTGAACTTATCAGCCTGTCTAAACAAGGTATTGGTGAGGATGAACAGGTCGTTGGGATTACACTTGCCTAGTCCATTTCTCTATGATTCCCTGCCAAATGTCAGCAACTCTGACATTGAAGTCACCGAAGTGCGCAACATTATCTTCTATGGGGATAGAGGTTAGCACTCTGTCAAGGTCGGCATAAAAGGCCTCCTTGATATCATCCTCTGCATCCAGTGTTGGGGTATATGCACTGATGAAAAAGGCATGACGTGAGTGATTCAGTGGGACTCGGAGCGTCGTGAGGCGCTCATTTATCCCAGCAGGCTTTTCAGTTAGCCTATGCAGGATGAGTGCCGGATGGCAAAGCCAACTCCTATTCCCACCAGGAACAGGCAGAGATGGCCGCCAGGAGTCTCTAGTCACAACTCTAAAAATGGGCAGCATAGATAAGATGGTCGTTTATGTAAAGAGAGCTAGGCAGCAGTGCAATCCGGCCCTGTCTGTGCAGAAGCCACTCTGCTCACCCCACATGGGGAAGGGGCCAGAAAAGGTGCCCTAAACATAGACTGCCTAAAGAACCAACCTGACTAGGCAAACGCACCCAGTAAGGTCATCCTTTTGCAGTCGATAACATAATCACAATCACTGATAAAGCAAAAACGAATTATACAACCTCTTGTGGTTACTGCATGGAATGTAAGGACCCTTCTGGATACTGGCACAAATGAGCATCCTGAAAGAAGAGCTGCCCTTGTGGCGAAAGAGCTGGTATAGGTATAACATTAACATAGCAGCCATTAGCGAGTCCCGGCTCCCAGACGATGATCAACTCCGAGAACAGGGGTCTGGCTATACCTTCTTCTGAAAGGGTAAGCCTGTTGAAGAAAAAAAACTGCATTTATAGAGTTGGCTTTTCCATTTGCCAATCCATCCTACATAGGCTAACTGAAATGCCATGCGTGGCTCCCACTGATACAGATCATCGGCTCATCAAAGTCAAATTTACCCTTTGCGTTGCCCCAAAACAGCGAAGGCAACAAGCCTCCAGAAGAGGTTTTAACACCAAGCGACTGGAGGATCCAGCGGTAGCACATGCTTTTAGTGAGGACATTAATGATGGACTGAAAAGAAAAACAGCAACAATCAGCCAAAATCCCAGTGCTGAATGGGGTCCAATCAAAGCTATCATCACAAAAACCTGTAACGAGACACTGCCAGATCAAAAGAAAACATCAGGTATTGGTTTGATGAAAATGACCTGGAAATCGAAGTACTCGTCAATAGTAACCATGCTGCACTGACTGGCAAAAGAACCCCAAGTCTTCGACCAAAGCTGATAACTTTCACGAGAAAAAAAACGGGTCTCCAGCACGAACTTCACAAACTAATGAATGAATGGTGGAAAAATAAAGCATCTGAAATGGAAACATTTGTGGATCAACACAACTACTCATGGCGTGGCCCCCTCCCCCCCCTCCACTCATCTGATGGTAACTCCATGATTAAAGACAAAGAAGGCATCCGTCAACACTGGAAAGAGCACTTCCAATCGCTCCTCAAACGAAACACCAATGTGGATGTCCTGACTACCCAACAGGTTCCTCGGCACCTAAAGCTGACCCACCTCAGCTATCCTCCATTTCTGGATAAGGTAGCTACTGCCATCGAGCAGATGAAAAATAACAAAGCAACAAGGCCTGAAGGAAACCCAACCGAGGTGTATAAGGCAGGAGGACCTCTGCTTACCAACCGTCTCCACTTTCTCCTGGAGAATATATAGGAGGAGGAAAAATTCCCTAAAGATCTTAGATGCATCGACCGTCAATATTTATAAGAGTAAAGGAGACTGGTCAGACTGTGGCACCTACCGTGGGATCTCACCGCTGTCTGTAGCTGGCAAGATTGTCGCCCGAGTCCTCCTAAAAAGACTTCTTCCTGAGGCGGAAAACTTCCTACCAGAATCTCAATGTGGCTTTAGACCATCACATGGCACCACTAATATGATTTTTGCTGCTCCCCAGATACAGAAGTGCAGAGAACAGCATCGTGACTTGTACATGGCCTTCATTGATCTTACTAAGCCTTCGACTCAGTCAATAGTGAAGCCTTCTGGCGGACCCCCAGTCGATCTGGATGTTTACCAAAATTCATTGCCCCTGGTGCAACTCCATGATGGCATGAACAGAAATGCCCTGTACAATGGCACCCAGTCTGAGATCTTCCCCATCCAAATGGGGTAAGACAAGAATGTGTACTGGCACCAACTCTTTTCCATTTTCTTGACTGCCTACCTAACTCGTGCCAGTGTAATTTTGCCGGCAGGTTGAATATCCAGTACCAGATAAAGGCAGGAACAAAGGTATTGGCCGCTTCCATCACTAAACTTCAGTATGCAGAGGATCTCACACTCATCGCTCACACAAAACGCGACCTGCACGAGATCCTGAACACCTTCGCAGATGCGTATGCACACTTCGACCTTGAGGTGAAGGCAAGTAAGACTTGGATTCTCTTTCAGTCTGCCCATGGTTCATCCACACCTCCACCATCCATCAATACTCTCTCTAATGTTACCCACATCCAGTACCTTAGCTCCCACCTGTCCACCAGCGTGGACATTGATGAAGAGATTCAACATCGGATCAGATGTGCATCTCAAGTGTTTGGCAGACTCTGTACCTGTGTCTTCTGCTGTAGGGAGCTGAAATGATCTACAATGATGTACATGTATCGAGCAATGGTCCTCCCCAACATAATCTACATAACATCGAGGCTACCATTATCCATGAACAACTACTTTGGACCGACCATGTTACCCGCATGGACGTCAGTAAACTACCAAAACAGCTACTTTGCGTTCACCTAACGAATGATAAACATAGCGCTGGCGGACAAATCTGAAAAAGTGCCAAATTAGCCCCCTCACCTAGGAGACGATCACTCCACACTGTAATGCTTGGAGGAACACCACACGAGAAGATGTCAATACTTTCGAGCTAACCCAACTGCATACCGAGGTAGACAAGCGCCAGCGCCGGAAAGACGCTGCTGCCGCCCCTCCCACACTCGATGTAGCCCTCCACACGTGCCCTGTTGATCCCGTATTGGCCTCTCGAATCACCTCGGCTCACCAACAAAGGTGACATCCTTAATAACTCGTATCATTATATCATAGCTGGTTAATTGTCATGCTCGATTCCGAGTGACAGCAAAGTAATAATAGTAGTAGTAGTTGTGTGTGTGTTCCTTATACATTTCCTCAGTTTTTAAAATAGAGCTGAAAATTGGTAGGGAGTTGCAGGGATTCTAGCCTTCTTTCCTTCAATGAGGGACGGATCGGCATCACAGGAGCTGACCCTCTGGTTGGTCCGCAGTTTCGAAGATTGAGAGCTGAAATTTTTCAAAACAAAGATCTGAAATTTGGTTTGGAGATGCGACTGGCCTAGAGGGTGATCATGCACTATATTCTTTCCCTCTGCTAGGTTAAGTTTGGTTAATTTGGGTTAGGTTAGGTTAAGTTTGGTTGTTAGGTTAGTTTAGGTTTGGTTAGATTAGGTTGGGTTTGGTCAGGTTGGTTGGCTTAGGTTAGGTTTGGTTTTTGTTTGATTACTCATCTTGTAAAGTACAAAAAAATAAATAAACACTTTGCTTCACTCACAGGTATTGGGGACATCAGCAGTGAGGACTTCCTGCCCTACACGACACTCCTTTACGGCAATGGTCCGGGCTTCCAGGTGCAGTCCGGTGGCCATCGACCTGACATTTCCCTGGAGGACCTGTGTGAGTATTTGGGGGAGGGGGGGGGTGAGGAAGTAAGATGGGGGCGAGTGTGTGGGAGGGAGGAGGGTGAGGGAACAAGGGAGGAAAGTAGGTGGAGGTATGCTATGCCTCCACCTCCTTTCCTCACACTAGCAAAGCACTTATTCACTGGAAAATTAATAATCTATTTTGTGCCTCAGTCATTCATCTTCGTGTGTCAGCATCACCATTACAGCCTTACCATGGTGTTCTCCTCACAGTGGACGTCAACTACCGCCATGCCTCCTCGGTACCGCTGAACTCAGCCGCGCACTCTGGGGACGATGTTGGGTTATATGCCACGGGTCCTCATTCCCACCTGTTCACGGGTGTGTATGAGCAGAACTACATCCCTCATGCCCTCGCCTATGCTGCCTGTGTCGGGGACGGTCTTACATTCTGTGGCAACAATCGCTTCAGGAGGAACCATCAACAGACGCGCAGCCAAGGACAGAGAAGGTGGCGGCCGCGTGGGTGAGCTTCAGAGTGGTAAAGTAGAGTAAGACATTCACGGTTGTTCCTCATTGGTCGGATAATCCCCGGGGATTACCCTGACTGTTCATGAGATGAACCAATCGCACACTATTTCCTGCCATCCGAGTTTATCTTGTTGATATATTATTCTTATTTATTTACTACTCGTTTTATTGGCACTAGTGATGCTGAACATCAGGTACAAGTCTGGCCAGGGTGATGAGCAGTAGATCATTCACTAGCAGATATTTTATTAAAAGATGCCTATAGCCCGTCACCCCTGAACCTGACCCCCTCGTGTAGTATATTGTAACTTAATAGGCTTATTTATGCACATTAAACGTTTGAAGTATTTTTTTATTTATTTATCCTTTTTTCTTCTATCTTAATTTGTTTACTTCTTTTTATGTCCTATATTCTTTATTTCATAATAAGCTGACCCCTCCGGAGACTGAAAAATTCTTCCGTCATCTTACCTATATGACTTAGTTCCTGAAACTTGGAGGGTCATATTCACCTTCAAGGAGCCTCTCCTATAAACAGAAAACATCTAACACAGGCAGTGATTTCGGTAATTATGGATGACATACCCATCGCCGATTTTTAATAGAAAATTAATTTAAAAACGTCCCAATTTCACTGTTTTGCAGTGGACACTCGTAGTTTGGGCAAATGTGTTAAAATGGGGTTATTTCTAAATCTAACCTAACCTTAGTTGATAAGAAAAACAGGTGGATGAATCATTGTTGGAAGACCACACCAACCTAACCAAAGAAGCTGTAGGGTTTCGTGATATTATGTTGTCTAGCACTCAGGATGGATGGAAACTCTAAGGTGGTGGTTTTCTTATATAATATAAGTTATATGGTAGACAGTCTGGTGCTGGAGATGCCGTGTGGTGAGGAGCTGCTCAGTAGACACGTTCGGTGAGTAACGTGTTGAAGGAGGTAGATGTGCAGGAGCTTCGTTAGAGAAGATGTTGCCTGTTGCTGGCCTCCAGGTTGAATGAGAACGGGACAGCGAGGAGCTTGCTTGGAGGAGGAGTTGCGTGTTCAGGAACCGAGAGCAGAATAAGAGAGCTGGTTGGTGAGGACGCTCAGAGAAGGACAGCTGGTGGGTCGCCATGCTCGCCGGCGGGAGCGAGGACCGCCAGGCAGGCGGAGGAGAAGCGAGGGCCGCCAGGCAGCGGCGGAGGAGGAGGTGTTGCGTGTTCAAGAAGAGAGGCCAGAATGAATCTCAATGGAGAGACAGAGCTTATATACACAGCAGCCGCGAGTCACTCGTGAGTCAAGCGTGGGAAGTCGCCGGTCTTTTGACTCCGTTGCTAGGATACTGTGGCATCTGGTGACGACCCCCCCCCCCCTGGGCCGCTCGTTTGGTTGCTAGGGAAGACGTAGCAGGTGGCATGCGGCTACACAGTTGTAGGGGAGACGTCCACTACAAAGCCTATTTAACCTTACCTAACTTCCTAGCAGGTGGGGTTTTGCCCCCTTGTCCCTAAGCATATTAAACAGAAAAATCTTCCTTTGATATGGCGTAATTTTAGTTTTTTGTTAATGTGAGAAAAGCCACTTAGACTGAGTGGTGCATAAATATATATTGAGCAGAGGACAAAATCGAGCCTTACCATATTATTTCTGCGAAAGATGAAGTAGTGCTGCTAGTGCGAGCCTAGAGGCTTAATTATCTACCAAACAAAGCATTTGCCCACGAAACGAATATCATATCTAAACTCAGCGATGAAAATATAGTTAGAAAAATCCATCAAAACAAATTACGCTGTACAACAGTGAATTTTGGGTTTTTAAGAGTGTTTACAGGGAGTGCCCATCTCCTATGTTGTCTTTTATTTTTTGTCGTTCACTTCCATGAGGTCATTTGATCCCCTGGAAGAATCGCTGTGGGACGAGAATTTCCTTTCTCAGAGACCATTTTTAAGGTATTGGATCTCCGGGAGCGTTTTATTGGTGCCCAGTTAACTAGGTAACAACAATCCGTGTCTTACATGCGATCCATTGATTACTGTAATGAATTACCTATACCTAGCATCAACAACGTCCTGGTCTTTCATATACATACAGTAGCTAACAATATCTTCTTGCTCCATAAACTGCAATTTGGGTCTGGTAACAACCCTTTTGCAAGTATTGAGGATGGTTATTCGGCACCCTTACGGCGTGATACAATATGACACGAGCGCCGAATAATTTTTAGTGGGTGTACAGTCGCACCCAAAATTTCGTTAACTCTCCCAGCCAGTTATTGCTGTACTGCCTGCTTCAGATGTATGAACTTGAGTCTATTACTTCGAACCTTTAGATTCATTCGGATCAGTTTCATGGAGCGCTTGGAGGTGATGTTAATTGAATTTTTCGTTGGGCTAACCGCTGCTTCTGTTGATCGGTCACAGGACGTGTTCACGAGTCAAGCCCTGGCGGGAGAGATATATGAGGACATCGTTATGCAGTTTTCAACCTCAGATTAGGTTGACAAGGACAAGAAAATATCACTTGCGAATTTGGCACGTCTTTTCGAATTTGCGAATTTTGTTTATTTTTTTTTGCAGGAACCTGAGCGCAGTCGCGCAAAAAGCACGAGGTTTAGCCAGAAAGACGATCTTCCAGACTATACTTGCAAGCTCATACCTTCCTATGAAGAGGCGCCGATTGCCAAAATAGTTACACTTGTCGCAGTAGCGACTGTCGCTTCGACTGGGCATCGTATGTCCAAAGAATCTGGCGCCAGACCAAAGCAAATTTTAGTATGTAAACATTGTACTAAGAAAGGATATACTATTGATTATTGTTACCAGCTCCAGCAAGGTAGTAATAGGCCCAAGCACCACAAAAACCTTAAGGTATAATAAAGGTCTCAACAAAACTGACCTCAGTCCCATTCAGCAGTTGCCAAGATCAGTCTGCAGCTGTTCTGACAGTTGATATGTCACATATGTAGTGTGTTTTTTCCACGACTAACTCGCATGATTCTCAAGACTGTGTAGCAATCAAACGGTGTAAAGACGCGAGATATGATGTAACACAGCAGCAGCAGTCACGTCGTCACTATTTTATAAGCAGTAGAGGGAAGACCAGCACCTTGTCCAACACGAGATGGGATAGTAACAACTAGGACTAATTACCACCATACCAACGCAAAACAACACTTCTATTGCAGCTTCGTTGAGCAAAGCAGAAGTGTTGTCTATTCCAGTGAGGGTAGGTAACAACTCACTTTCCCTCGATATATAGTAGATACGGGTGCGTGCGCAAATGTACTCTCATTAGCGGTAGTTCTTGATAGACTATCAAGAACTACAGCAACGTTCACCTCACCAAGGATTTCAAATTAGACCTACTGACAAGTGACACTGATATCTCAGGAGTTTCCGGTACCCAGCTGAACATTACGGGAGTGGTAGTAGGCAGTTACCAAACAGGGAGGTACTACCCCCTGGGAAGATATAGGAAGCATAATGTGTTGTCTAATGGTAGACCCTGCTGCCATATGGCATCACGAAAATTGTGACCAAGTCCCAGGTTGCGTATCTGAATTTCTGCATCATTTACACACAATTGCAGGGTCTCAATTGTTTCCTTTACTTTGACAACACAACATGCATATGTTGTTTCTCACTAATGATCTTCTTTTTCTTCTTCTTTTTCTTCTTCTTCTTCTTCTTCTTCTTTTCTTTTTCTTCTTTTTCTTTTTCTTCTTCTTCTTTTTCTTCTTCTTTAATACTATTACCATTATTATTTCATTATTTTTATTTTCATTTATTTATTTATTTTATTATGAAATTATTATTATTACATTTTCGCCCCCCCAGGCCCCAATGTGGGTCAGTGACTTGTGCCCGGGTGGGCTATTCCCAGTAAAAAAAAAAAATCTAATCGTGGTAAACCATTTCCTGCAGAGTTTTATATAGTCAAGGACTTTAACTTACCAGCTGGTGGATTAATTGGTCTGCCAACGCTTAAACACAACACGATAGATGTCCAGCCAAGTCAACATACTCTCACGGTTGGTGGCGTTACCTATCGTGCCATGCACAATTCTGTTCCTTTGCTGAATGCTAGGGTGAATGTTATAAAAAATTCTCCTGCTGCGAGGAAGATGGATTCCCAGTGCGCCCCAGACCCTACCGACTCATTTACCCGGCGTGATTTTAGCAGCAATAATTGGATAGTAATACCTGCAGTCTTAACAGGTACTCTGCATTTTCAGAATGAAGACCTAGTCTGTCTTATGGAAACTAACAGGGCTAAAGATCTTCCATGTGAATCTACAAAGAGTACGATTCATCCTGGTGGTTTAACAGATGTCCCCGTTCTCCACAAAACAGTCGCTCCCAGAATATTGAAAGAAGGATGTTATTTGTGTGATTATCTGGTTTACCATACTAGTGTTGCTTTACAGCCTACACAATTCCCATTTGGTAGTGTTACACTTACACAAACCAGACGGGAGAGGATCAATCAAATAGCACCACATGTTAAGGTAATTGATCAATTTCAAGTCAAGACAAGGCTCCTGGAGTTGTTTGCAGACTACAGAAAGATTGTAGCATTACCTGGCAAGTCGTTAGGTCAGGCGAGTTTAACTTCACATTACATATCTTTAAACCAGACACAAACTCGATTTACATACCAGCTTACAGACTACCTCATCGCCAGCATGCTGAAGTACAAGACATGGTTCAGGATATGCTGGAACAAGAAGTTATCAGACATTCAAAGTCTCCTTTCAATGGTACATTGTTTTTAGGCCCTAAGAAGGATGGAGGCTGGCGCCCAGTCATTGATTTTTTGTGAGTCAACAAAGAAACTATCCCAGATAGGTACCCGATGCCTGTTCTGGGCGATATATTGTAATTCTTAGGCAATGATAATTCGGTTTTTAGCAACCTTGATCTTAGCAGATATTGGCAAATTCCTCTTGAGAAATCTCGCAAGATTACCGCTTTTAGCACTCCTTTGGGTCATTTTGAAATTTTGAGTATGCATTTGGCCTTCGAATTGCATCATTGACTTTTCAAATGATGATTAACACTTTGTTTGGTGATTTAAAAGGCAACACAGTAGTATGTGTCTATTTAGATGATCTCATCATAGTCAGTAAAGATGTAGACAGTCATCTTGTCAAACTCCATGAAGTTTTCTTAACTTTCTACAGCAATACTTAGTTAAACTTTCTAAATTTGAATTTTAAAAACAAGAATACAATCACTTGGTCATGTAGTCGACGGAGACAGCATTCATACAGTTAATGACAGAGTCAAAGCTGTTGCACAGTTCCCACGTCCTACAAACGTTGATAAGGTGCTTAGTTTTCTTGGTTTATCAGGATATTGTTG